CCTCACGGCCCCCGAGCCCACCCGCCGCCGCCGCCGCCACTACCGGGGGAAGCGGGAAGTGACGTCACGGCGGGAGGGCCGAGGGGCAGGAAAGGCTGAGGGACGGAAAGAGGCGGGAAAAGCTGAGGGGGCGGGAAAGGCTGAGGGGCACCGCCCGCCCCGCCCCCTCAATAAACCCACAGCACAATCAAGGCTTCATGAATAATTTATTCCATTTGAATTTTTTTTTTTTTAAAAAGTATAAACTTTTTTTTTTCTTCATTTCCTCGATCACAATTTGTACAACTCAGTGTTTATGGCATTCAGCAGAAATAGTGTTTGTTCCTTAAATCGCTTTTTGTTTCTGTGTTTTGTCACGATAAATACAATTGTGGCTCGGCTGAGGGCACATGGCAGCGGTTGTGCGAGGCTCCCCGACACATCCAGCCGTGCCAAAGGGGTGTGGGAGCTCCCTGACGTGTCCAGCCATGCCAGAGTGGCGTTGAAGCAGCTCCTGGACCTGTCCAGCAGTGCCAGAGAGGCGTTGGAGCAGCTCCTTGGTGTGTCCAGCTGGGCTGTTGGAATGGCTTCCCAGTGCGTGCAGCCCTGCAGGACGGGCGGTAGAGCAGCTCCCCGCTGTGCCAAGCCATGGCGGAGGGGCATTGGAGCGGCTCCCTGATGTGTCCAGCTGTGCCGGAGGGACGTTGGAGCAGCTCCCCGGTGTGCCAAGCCATGGCGGAGGGGCATTGGAGTGGCTCCCTGATGTGTCCAGCCGTGCCAGAGGGGCGTTGGAGCAGCTCCCCGGTGTGTCCAGCCGTGCCAGAGAGGCGTTGGAGAGGTTTCCCGGTGTCTCCAGCCGTGCCAGAGGGACATTGGAGCAGCTCCTCGGTGTGTCCAGCCGTGCCAGAGGGGTGCCATGGTCAGTGACAAGACCGCAGGCTGCCGCATCCCAAGCCAGCGCTCAGCAAGGTCCTCATATCCAGTTGACTTGGAAAAACCTAAAGCTTGATGAGTAGCATCCTGAAAAAGTGACCCTGAGGATTGTGGTAGGTCCCAAATCCAGTTTTACTGTAAATTAAGCTTTACTCCACTGAAAATAAAAAAGTACACCCACAAATAATAATAAAAAAACCCCTTTGTGTATGAAGCATAGTCCTGGGCCCTTAAAAAAAAAAACAAGAAAAAAAAAACAAGAGAAAAAACAAAACCACCTTCCCAGCTGGAGGTTGTGAGACAATAACGTTGTACAATGTCACCCCATTAATGAATTCTCCAAAGAAACACAGATCAAAACAAGGCTGATGCAGCATTACTATCCAAACAGACTGATATGTGGTGCCATACTGTTGTGCAGCAAATTATATGGTGCAATAGCATTTTTTTAAAATGTTTTACTCTTATTCTTGAAAGCTTTAAAATAATGCGACATAATATTTTGATATTACAGTATTAACAAATAGTGCTTGATTAAAGACATCGGCAAGTCTTCATAGCAACACACAAAGTTAAAATTACCATCAGAGGTAAATATAGAAATACAATAATCTGCGCCATAACTGACAGCTAAGTAAGAACATAGCTGAGGATTTAAATATAAATCCATTTATCTTTAATT